CCCCCCCCCCTGCACCCATTCATAGCAATACAATGCCATTAGGAGGCCTAACTTTCACAATAAAGCGGGGGATGACTTATCATTTTTACTATTAAACACTTCAATCTGGATTGAAATATGTGTTTGGTTATATTTGGACAATAAGCTTTCAGGACGCTTCGCGCCCATCTACTATTTGAATTGTGAATATTTTTTTCTTTGTCTAAATTGTAAAAAAAGGTCGCGGATTTTATCAAAAAATTTCGTGGATTTTTCACAATTTATTTAAAGTCAAATTTAGTTGAAGGGTAATCTTAAAATTTTAATCATCCCTTTCGGCTTAGCCGTTTTTACGTTTATTGGATACAAACAAACAAATAAACATATACCCGGACAAGGAAAGTTTATTCAGACAATTCATTAATTTTTTAGTTCAAAAACATATTTGTGTAACGCAACCTAAATTTTCATTTCTAATGCATGTATCTTTGCAGCCTGATGTACACCTTTGATATTTCTAAGTGTAAATTCTATACAATTTGAAATGCTGTAAAATAGGCAACATTTTGAAATAAAGATCCAGGATTTATGTGTTTGAAAATTGATAAATTTTTGGATTTTCGCATAGTTAATGGAATGAACATTGATGCAAATTGTATAAGGGGGTATTTAGAGTGTGGAGGGTGGAGGGGGAGGCACTCCATTCACTTTGCATTGCATACCTCATTGTAAAGTTCCGGACAGGGATGAACTATTTTCATATTTTTAAAAAAGGAATAAATTTTGTTAAATTTTTTAGCTAATTTACATTTGGTTAAGATCCAATAGTAAATGAGCTTTAACCTTCACACCTATTTCACCCTAAACTAAGCTTTCAATTGTGTACTGCAAAACAGTGACCGAAAAGTGGGTTTTAGCTAAAAGCATTTTCCGGATTAATTAATTTGTAAATTTAAAATTTTCCTTAAATGATTGAAGTACTGCAATGTCAACTATAATTGATACGTAAATTTTAGCCAGAGAAAGAATTTAAATCACGACCATAAGTCCAAATTTTGAGGTTGTATTCAAACTTTTTTTTTCATTTTTTGATATTTTTTCATCAAAATCGATTTAAAAAATGTATTTTGTCATTTAAGAATTGTACTAGTTACTACGCGACTTTCCTTGAATATAAACTCAATATATTAGAAGGAAGGAACGGTCTTTTGTTGAAAGCTGCGTAGAGTTTCTAATTCTTCTGCCTACTTTTCATCATTTCATGTTCAAACAATTTACTTGAGTTGAAAGTATCGTGTGCTCAGACAAAATTCATTTTGTTGAAGGTTGCCCAAATGTCAAACCAAAATAAAAAACTAAAGGAATTTAAAACAATTTGTGTCTTACAAAAACAAAACCTAAGCTTTAGAAAAAACCATTTAAGAAAATTTTAATTTAATTTTAAGAAACATCTCCAATTTAACGAGGGCAAAAATTTATGAAAGTATTTTGAAGAAAAGTTGTTTTTACTTTTCAGCATTTGTCACTTATTTTGCTCTCTCTCTAAATTTTATTCTGCTTCCCGAATGGGCCTGATAAATTTCACTTGGCATTGATTGATTTCTCATCTGTTAGTAATGAACAACAGTTTTTTTGCTGTATTTTGTTTACTAGACAACTTTAATGAACAAAATTTTTTTTTTTTTTCGAAAATTTTGCAAAAAGTTTTTTTTGTCTAAAAGCTAGTATTTGAAAACAGGAGATGTTTATGGGTGGGCGTAGGATTACTCTCAGATCCCATTCTACAGAGACTACAGGTACCAACAAAATTTTTTTATAGATTTTAAAGATTTTCCATTAAAGTTTGATTTAATTAAACTTTGCTTATTAATTAAAAAGAGAGAAAAAAAAACGTTATAATGCATTTGTTTTAGCGTCGTTTTTGAATCTTTAATTTTTGTTTGCGTATAATTTCTATTTTGGTCCAAATTTGGCATAATTTAAGAAATTAGAATGAATAATTTAAAAAAAAATTATTTTGTACTATAGCAAATTTTGACGCTGAAAGAAACTATTGGCACACAAAATATTTGTAGTTTGTAACACTTCTCGAAATGTTTTCAATTAAAATATAAGATAGAAAATTGTTTGTATTCAGTTAAAAGCTGTTTTTAAAACATATATGACATTTTCATTTGCATGTTACAAGTATATATTATATCAGTCAAATGTTTCGTTAAAACTATTTAAAACTTGTTTTTACACAGATCTTTTAATAGCTTGGCCAGGATTTGTTAAATCCTGCACTAATAAATATGTACAATATTTTTTTAGAAAAAAAGAACTGGTCAAATTTTTTTGAGGGATTTGACCTTCGCCACAATTTTTCAATTAAAAAAACATATTTTCGAAAGGAAAATGCATACTTGGATGGAACTTTTTTTAAATTAAAAACTTACCAGGATCTACAGTGATAATAGGAAAACTCTGAAACAGGACTTTTCTTATCAAGTTACAACTTTAGAAAGTCCTATTAACATGAGACACAGCAATTGTGCTGTGTTAGCAGACACATTTCACTAAATTAGTGGTTTAATAAGAGTCTGGTTTGGCTATTTGCTTTGCTACAGCAGCAAATATTCTTAAGTATTGCTATAATGTTGTTTTCTTATTCTCTTGTTTTCTGGTTATTACTGTAGATAATTCATGTATTGACTAAAAGAGAAATATAAAATATATTCTATATTTTCTGATTTTGAATTAATCTTTCAGGATCAAGATCTGGAGAGAGCTTATCACTGCCAAGAAGATCTTCATCAGCGGTAACACAACGGCTCTACACTTTGTCCACCAAGGTAACGTAGATGTTCATAGTTCTAACTAGAGATGAGCACATTAGACTTTTTTCATTCATTTCATTTTTCTGAATTATCCATTTTGTTCATCCATCTTTTGTTTTATTTCTGAACGACAACCTTTTTAAAAAATTTCTTTTGTTCAAAAAAACGATACCCATCTCTGGTTCTAACTCACCTTTAATCTAATAATTAGAGGGCAAAGCTTTTGAACCAAAAATCTATGAAAAATATTGTAAGTCAGGTTTCCTACCTCCTGCCAGTCTATTTAGGTTGCAAGGCTCAGATGATTTCTGTGTTATTTCTTTCCAGTAGATCCCCAACGCCCTTCAGTTTGAACATTTTGATGTGGATATTAACTAAAGTTCTTGTTACCAAGAGCTATGCCAAGCAAAAGATTTAGACACAGCCGAACTAAGCCAATGTTCAACTATAAGGCATAGAAAGCTAAATTTCAACTGAGCCAGGTCCATAAATCAAGCATGATTGGTGAAGCAAAAACCACCCTTGCTTAATCTCTCAAAATTTGTTTAGAATAAAAAGCCAAAATGTATTTGATTAATTTATAAGAAGTAAATTGTTTTTTTTAGGCACAGTCTGCAAAAACTCGAACTCCAGAAGAACTGAAGGAATTTGAGAAGAAAGCTCTAGCTGCTGGGAAGAAGGGTGCTTATACTGGATCTAAGTCAACCTCTAGTCTTCCTCGCAGGATTAAACTGAGCCCTGCTGATGCTCTCCTCACAGAGATTCAGCAGTTGGACAAAGTGGAAGATAGCCAGGATAGGAAAAAGATCAGTATCGTTAGCTTTCTTGACAATGATACCCACTCAAGACGTCGTAGCCTCATCCATGGTATATCTCATGATACCTTGGATAGAGATAATGCAGACCCAGATGATGATGAAGATGATGATTCCAATCTGAACAAGAAGCTCTCCATCAGCAGCCAGAGTAGCACAGGTTCTGATCTAGAGCCACAACTGGCAAGGAATCAGTTCAGGAATGAACACAAGGTATTGGTAAACAACATTTTGTTAAAAAAATATTGCTGTTTCTTTAAATACAATTTTATTTTTAACAATTTAGATTCTGACTAAAACAAAGGCCAGCAGGCGAAACTCACCCTCCCCAGTGATCAAACAGCCTCGCAGCAATGCTGAGAACAAGATTGATGGAACCAGTCAGTCAAAGGTGAAAGACACAATTAATATTGAATGTATTACAATGCTTAACATCTGATTATATTTTAGACTCCTGTCTATCGATCCTCTTCAACTGCACCCATTCAACATGTAAAGCAAGAAGCTCGGAGGGCAAGGTCTTCTGGATCTAATACTGCCCCTATTGTGTATGGAGTGAGAACACCGCTCTCTGGGCGGGGAATAGGATCTGGGTTGAATTCTCCTTCCCCAGGAGTAGGGTTTGGATCTACAGTTTCAAGGTTGGTAATACTTAACTTATACCTTTTTAATTATTTAAATACTCTTAATCTAAATCTTTTATTGCAGATTTGAAAGAGGATCTGGAGAGAAAATTGGCAGTGCCAAAAACAGAGAGAAAACACCAGTTGTTCGTTCAATGTCAAAGGATAATGTAACTACATTACAGATAGGAGGTGTCACAAAAAAGAATAGTTCTCCTGATACCAGCGCAAAGAGTGAATCAAAGACTGAAATGAAAGGAAGCTCAGGAAGTACTAACATAGTGGATCAAGTTGGCAGAAACAATACTAACAATATAGCCAAAGTTGATCTAGATGGAACGACTTCAATAGTTGTAAATATATCTGAACAGGATGATAAATCTCCTACTCCTGTCAAGAAAGCCTCTAGAGGGCGATCAGTTTCCATAGAAATCCGAAAGTCATCCAATGGAAGTACAGGTTTCAATACTGTAAAGAAGACACCTACAACAAAGCCCACTCAAGAATCGCAAGCAATAGAAGCCACTGCCTCCATAGAAAACATGAAATCAGTAAACAGTAAATCTGACACTGGAAATACTTACAAAGAAAGAATTGTAGGAAAGAAAAAGAAATCGTCAACATCTAGTAAGGACATGCCTGCATCAGGAAATGCAACTAAGGAAGCTAAGATTGAGAGAGGAAATTCCAAATCTCTTAGTCTTATCAGCACAATAATACCCACACAATCTGAAAAAATAAATCCAGGTAGCATTGGTAAACCCAAAGTTGTACAGTCAAAAGTCACTTCAGTAGTTAGTGAGCAAAGAAATTCCAACATTGACATGGAGTTAAAGCCTCTTATTGGTACCAGCTCTCCTCAAGATGGTATTGAACATACAACGGAAGAGAGCCAGAAGAATGACACTGCAGACACTGCAACAGAAAACAACAAGAGCAAGGCATCCACACAGATCAAAAAGAGCAGTACTATCACAGAAAAAAAGAAAAGCAATGCTGCTGTAGAGAGCAAACCACTTAAGTCATCAGCCGAGACCAATAAGAGCAATGTCATTGCAGAAAGCAAGAAGAATAAAGCTGACATAGAAAGTAAGAAGAGCAATACCAGAACAGTCAGCAAGAAGAGCAATGTAGAAAATAATGACAAACCTACTGTAGCTGAAAGCAATAAATGTATTGTTAAACTTGATGAATACAAGAAAATTCCTCTGTTGAACTGTAGCAAGAACCCTGTGGATTTAATTGAAAATAAAGGTCAAGATTTAGTAAATATGTCAGACAACAATCAAGAATCTGATGGCATTAAGAGCAAAGATGAACCCAAGATTAACCAGGCATTTGATGGATCCCAAAAGAAGCAAATGATTAAAGCTGAGGAAGATATTGGCGATAAAAATGAGATTAATGTTGTAATCAGTGATATATCTAGTGAGAATTCCAGTGAAGTATCGGAAAGAGAGGAGGATATAACCGGAGAGGAGGTTGACACCTCCTGGGTGTATCAGCCTTCAGCCTCTGATAAAATGGGCTCAGGGTCTCCCCAGGAGGTTGATATCCCTCTTGAGATTGTCAAGGGTAGCATCAAGGATGCTTGGGACATGTTTGCTGCTATGGATCAGAAACTAAGGGGAGGAAGATACAAGGATCTGGGGTTATCTAATGATCAGGTAGGGGGATATAAACTAGGAAGGGACAAGTTGATCCAGTGTGTTGTGCAAATAGTCCAGGCTTTTGATTGTTAGTGTTGCAAGGAAATTGTAGGTTTATTCAATAGATCATTTGTAGATGTCTTGGAGGTGAATAGATTGGTTGGAAGATAGGAACTGAGATTTATGTTACCCGACTAGGCACTCCGGCATGTTGCTAGGGTTTAAAAGTCAAAGGGTTGCAATATTAAGCTTGCAATTCCTGGGGTGAATATTTATCACCTAATACCAAATGGCATTAATCGACATGTAAAGTCGAGAGGGAATATAAACCAAGGTTTTATTTTGGGTGATGGAGATCCAGTTTGGATTTCACAATTTTGCTATGAATTTATTAATAGTTCAACCAGAGGTGGTTTAAATGATTTCTTTCATGCAGACTTCCTTGCAAAACATGACACACCTACATCATACAAAGTCACACAGAACACAGCACAAAACACACACCACCCTAAACAAAGCTTTCTGTGTGTACTGCAAGTGATTTGCAGTACATTGATCGAAGAAATAGTGAGTTTTGTGGAGAGTGGCAATGGCACATTACATACATCTGACACACTTTTAAAAACACTAACATTCTTAACTTATAAAAAAAACACTTATATGAAGTCCTATCTATCTATATTGCAATCTAGCTTCTTATCTGAATATATCTACATATCTATATCTATATGTATGTGTCATATCTGAGAAGTTTAACCTTCTATCTCATGTTTGAGGTTGAGGTCTAGATATAATTGAATCATGTATCTGCATGAACTAGGGGTTTAAGTAGGGCTGAGCATTTTTAAACTTTTTAAAATTCGTTCATTAATAGTTAAATAAATTAACAGAATATACAGACTCAACAAGTTAGAATTAAAATAATTTCTAGTTTAGTTTTCTACATTACTCGATCAAGTTTGTTAACATTAAAGGCTGGTAAGTTTGTGTTTGAGATATTTTATTATATCTATCTACTGAAAGTTTCTGTAGTTGCGATTAAAAACATTAGAAAAAAAATTATTTGTTCATATCTTTTATGCATAAAAATCATTTTAAAAAAGCAACAATTCCTGTTCTTTCATAAGAGGATCATTTCGTTTGTTAATTAATTGAAAATAAAAATGTTTCCGTTAATTTTGAAGATAGTTGATTAGCAGAATAATGGCCAGCTCTAGAGTTGAGGTTTTGTAAACATTGGGCAGGGGAGGGAGGGTACTGGCGGCCGCCATGAGCCTCCACTATGCAGATCAACCCTACCAGATTTGCTATGCAGTACGAGCCTCGACCATGCGGCACAGAATTTGTTAGATGTTATGTTTACTGTATTGTGGAGGCTCTTATGCTGCATAGCTGGGGCTCACGGCGTCCGGGGGTTCCCATCCTGGGCAGGGAGCAACCTTGCAAGGTCAAGTAATCTTTCAGCCATTTAACATTCTGCCTTGAGTTTATTTTTCATGGAAAGAAAATGAACACTCGCCCCAAACACTATCTTTGCAACCTGATGGTTTAAACCATTAACCTTCTTGAAGAATTCATAGTTTGAAATATAAAAGGTTAAAGACATTCGATTTAAAAGATGTTGGATATTGGAGTTTTCCTTTTATTTCTAGAGAATCGAGTGGTGCAGTTTAAGTCAACTTCGAGGTTTAAACCTACATTCTATAGAGTTTTCCAATCAAAATACAGACAAACAAACAAACAGAGATTGCTACTTTATATACATAGATGGGTAAACTGTATTTGTACAATTGTAGATTGTCCTAAACATATATTTATTATTTATTCTATAGATGTAACATTTGGCGAGACAAGATAATAAGTATTTACTTCATAATCTTCTAATTATGTTTGATGCATCATCCTTTATGCATCTAGAAACATATAACTTATACAAGTTATCAAGCACCGTACAGTATGCATCATGCATCTAAATGTATGTACAATGTACAGTGTTACTTGAAAGTGTTTTTCCTGAAAGAAGTAGTCTTTGCCACAAACTCTGTCGATCATAGATATGTCAAACTATAAATTCTGTTATCTATATATATAAAGTTGTAATCTCTGATTGTCCGTCTGTTTGCCTGTCTGTTTGTTTGTCCGTACATAACTCAGGAACACCTGGATCGATTGGCCTCAAGTTTGATTGGGGAACTCGGAAGACTCACGGGAGTGTTCTTATCTTGGTTTTGAGATTCTAACAGCGAAAATTTAGTTTCCCGTTAAACTCGTTCGTGTGGGTAAACTGCGAGAGTAGCTTTTATTAAGTATCAAATAATTCAAGTTAGAAATATCAAATCAGTTTGTGGCAAAGACTCAATTTTATGCTTTTCCACAGCTGCGTCTTTGATACATCATTAAATATATCATAAAACGACTCCTCAACAACGAATTTATTAATTATATGGTTTTATGTCGTCATTAAAACCTTGTAATAATCTATGTTTGTTTGTCAGATCATAACTCATGAACCCCTTGAATTCAAATTTTGATTGGGTGACAACTAACAATTGTTAGAACCAAGGGTATGTTTTTAATTTTGTTTCAGTTAATTTAATTGCACCTTTAACAGGGAAAACTAATTTCCCAGGCAAAGCTGGGTTCCAAAACTCTAGTATATCATATTCTGTTGTTTACACACAACTATCCGTATTATCCCAGATTACCTTTATCTATGAATATATCCATCCATGCACCTATCTTTCTATCTATCTATATATTATCTATCTATCTATCTATGTACTGATCCATATAAACTCTGTGTGCCTGCCAATCATCTATTGATCTATTTAAGATCTATAATTACTGATAATTATATATATATATATATATATATATATATATATTGTATATTGTATATTGTATATAATTATTCTTAAATCTCTGATTATTCTTAAATATTACATAAGATGAGGTACAGAGGTCTCTCTATCTATCTATTTATCTATTTAGCTATCTATCTATCTATCTATCTATATATCTATCTATCTATCTATCTATCTACCTATCTATCTATGCAAGGTTAAAGCAGAAGCTAAGTAAGGATAAAGGTATATAAGCACTCCGTGAGATTGGGATTTAAATATTTAATGGTTTTCTTAGTCATTTATATTTGTAGTTACATCTTCTATTTTCATTAGTTAATTCATAAGTTTTTTTAAATTATTATTCTATAAAGGGTTAGATTCCAATAAATGAAAAGTGTGATTGCCAAGAAATCAAGAGGTTGATTGCCAAAAAGTAAAGTCGTTGATTGCCAGGAACTAAAAGGTTCGATTGCGATGAAAAAAGGAGTAGATTGCCAAAAAATTAAATCGGTTGATTGCTAAGAATCAAAGGGGCATATTGCCAAGAATCAAAGGGGTAGATTGTCAAAATTATAGGTGAACCTAATTAAACGCTGTAGACCAATAGTTCGTTTGAAAATAAATAACTAAATAAATAAATTTTAAATTGAATGTTTCTAGAACTATAAGAGAAACCTTCCTCTAGAGTCTAGATATAGAAGATATCTATATAATAAAAGAAGACATTCATAAATATGTTCCCTCTGGTGGACCAAACGGCGAACCGAATGGTCTGACATTTTTCGTGGACACTCATGGGTAGTCCGGGGGGGTGAAATTAGATATTTTTTCAACATTTTTTTCCAAGGGCAACGCCGGGCCCTTCAGCTAGTAAAATATAAGATATAAAAATGTATCTAGTTCCCTCTGGACCCCTGCCAAACAAACTTAGTTTTTCATACGTTTCTTTTGGATTAGAAACCATATTTGGGTAAAATGTTAAATCCCTGCTGCTGGAGGGGCCTGACCTTCATATCTTAATATAAATACAATAAAAATCGAAACATGTGATTTACGATGATTTGGACGGAAATAGTTCAATATATGTAGATTGATAGATAAACAGATAGAGAATATATGTAGATGGATAGATAAACAGATAGAGAATATATGTAGATGGATAGATAAACAGATAGAGAATATATGTAGATGGATAGATAAACAGATAGAGAATATATGTAGATGGATAGATAAACAGATAGAGAATATATGTAGATGGATAGATAAACAGATAGAGAATATATGTAGATGGATAGATAAACAGATAGAGAATATATGTAGATGGATAGATAAACAGATAGAGAATATATGTAGATGGATAGATAAACAGATAGAGAATATATGTAGATGGATAGATAAACAGATAGAGAATATATGTAGATGGATAGATAAACAGATAGAGAATATATGTAGATGGATAGATAAACAGATAGAGAATATATGTAGATGGATAGATAAACAGATAGAGAATATATGTAGATGGATAGATAAACAGATAGAGAATATATGTAGATGGATAGATAAACAGATAGAGAATATATGTAGATGGATAGATAAACAGATAGAGAATATATGTAGATGGATAGATAAACAGATAGAGAATATATGTAGATGGATAGATAAACAGATAGAGAATATATGTAGATGGATAGATAAACAGATAGAGAATANTATATATGTATATATATATTACAATTACTTTATAAAAATAGTGGCTGATATACTACCGACTTAATTCTAAGTTGCTTTCATTAAAAAGTTTTCATTGAAACCCTTGAAACTTTTGTTTGAGCAAAAATGAACGAGATTTCCTCGTGTTTCTGTCTTAAAATTGATCAACTTTAACCATGGATTCTTTTTACAGCAATTTGCAGATTTTTGAAGCAGAGACATAAAATGACATAAAAAGAGTACTGTTGTGAATCGGGCTTGCAACTTATTTTTCGAGTTGGGTTAAGATGGGGTTTTGATTGTTTTAAACATATTTAGCTGAAGTTATCAAGCATGATCTTGATGTAATTTGGCCATTTTTAAAAGTAGTTCGTTAATGCTGTCGTTTTAGATTCGACATTGTGATTTAAAACCCAAAAATGAATAATACTGCTTTGAAAAAATGATATTCAGATACATGTTCACATTTTAACAAACTGAATATTCAATTAAATACATATACGCATGTGAATGTGCATGTATGTACGATGTCTGAAA